GCCGTTTGGCAAATGGCTTGGTCTGGTCCCCTTTTATATTCTAGCCCCTGCGTCCTTCTGCATCCTTCCCTTACCTGTGCTGCTCAGGGGATGAGCTCGGGATCCAGAGCAGGGTTTGCACTGGAGCTGTGTGGAAGGTCCGTGGAACAAAACTGTGTGGGAGCCTCTTCTCCCCAGTCACCTTCCCTGTGTGTGGAGAATGGTTTGGGTTGGAAGGGACCTTAAAGATCATCCAGTTCCAACCCCTCTGCCATGGGCAAAGACACCTGCCACTGCAACAGGTTGCTGTGGAGGATCTTGCACACGACAAGGTCAGTTGTACTGTGCAAATTCAGGTACGCAGAAGCTTGAGAGGTCCTCAGAGGACAGATGAAGTGGAAGAACCAGGTGGTGTGTGGCTGTGGGCTGAGGTTTGGGGCATAAAGGTCAATTGTTTTTACTCACAGCAGTGAGCACAGTGTGGTTTCCTTATCTCAAAGTGATCCAGATGAGAATGAAAACCTTGTGGGAAATGCAGCAAAGGCCCTTGAAGTGAACTGTGAGGGAATGGACATCAGTGTCAAATGCATGGCACAGTGTGTCACAGGTGTGAGGAATTGAGTTACTGGTTACCTGGTGAGAGGTGTACTTGGTGTGTCTGTGTGGGGCTGTGAGGAAGGCCCATCTCCTCTATGGGTGGCCTTTCCGGAATGGGGTTTGGTGCCACACCAGCTGTAGGCACTTTGTTTTCCTCTGTTAATGGTGAGCTGTGGCAAAGCTCAGAGAGAGGACCACTGGCAGTCACCCTTTCCTTCCTACAGCTGGACATGAATGGGAACAGCAGTTTTTGCATCTGTCAGGGCTCTCTGCAATCTTGTTTCTGGAGCAGAAAGAGTTTGTTAGAGTCCAACATCAATTTTGTCTCAGTAAGGAACAACTAGGCAAATACCAGACATTTCTTATGCCATCTGGTTTTGCATCCTGGGCCCTCTGATGTGCTCAGCGGGTTGTACAGTTCTTAAGAGGTTCAGCCAAGAAAGGTATGAGGTGTCCATGTGTCACAGGAGTCTGTGGGAGGAGAGGAAACACAGGAGGCTGTACTGGTGAGCAGGAAATGCGCCTGTTATCAGCAGGTAACACAGCTTATCCAGAAGTTGGAAAAAAGAGGAAACAATCCACAAAATAATGGATGAAGGAAAATGGCAGGAGGGAAGATGAAGTGGACTACAGAGACAGCACAGAAAGTGTAAATTATAGGGGAGGGAAAGGGAATGAAAAAAATAGGGAAATTAAAGTCACAAAAAAGAGTGCCAGAAACAAAGAAAATAAGCTAATCCTGCCTTTTTAACCGTAACCTTTTCATACACACAGGTGCCAAATCTGTTGCCCAGCAGTGAGCACCTGCTAGGACCAGTCATTTCTGCCCCAAAACAGGCTTATGTGTTTAGGCTGATGTCCAGTGATGTTTTTATCAACACGAGTGGCTAATTCAGTTGCCTACAAATAGATTGTAAGATGTATTTCATGGACTGATATTACTGTGTGGAAATCATTTTCTCCTTTAGGTTTTGGGTAGTCAAGTCTGATCTCCTGTACCAGTATTGAAATATTTTACCAGTGTAAGCTCTGCATGCCTTTGCTTTCTCTGATTTATTTCAAATCTCTTATAATCCTGTGCTAAATCTTTTTGTGTGGTGTCTATCTCATTTTCATTGATAGACTTCAGTCTTGTGAGCCTTTGCTATTTAAATGGTATTGTTTTGGAATTGCAGCCAAATGGAGTATTGTAGTGCAAGTGACTGTGTTTTGTCTGTCTTAGAGTAGCTTCCACATCACTCTTCCTTTCCTTTAATGCTTTTTTTTGCCCTTTTGTCTGTCATTGTTCAGAGTCTTTCATTTGTCTGCCTGGTGATGCTTTGAGTATCTAGTGAAACTCAAATATTGCCCTATATGGTTATTAATTGCTCTATCCTCTGGTAACTTGTATAATTAGCACCGATTTTTCTGGTAGTGCATCAGGTTAAAGCTGTCTGTACTGACTTTGAGCTGCATGGTGGCAGATGCTCTTGTCCAAGTCCTAGAATTTGTTGGTTTTCTTCAGTCCCTGCAAACTCCAGCAGCAAGATTACTGTAAATTGCTGAGTGGAGACACAGTTCCTTGGTCTGGAGGGGATTTCACATTCTGGTCAGGCAATTAAGTGATTGTACACAAGTGACACAGCAAAGATGGAGAACCTGAGGGAGATCAGAAAGGGTGACAGGGCTGTCATCCATAAGAAGGTAAGGACAAGGGTGTCTGCAGGAGTCCAAGCAAGAGAGAATGTCAAACTGCAGTAAGATAAGGGGGAAGAGTGTTTTGGGGAAGCAGTGTAATGAAATCATGCTGTATTCACATTTCCCATGTGTGGCAGACTGGATAGATGATGTTCCCTTAGCCCGCTTCAGAGGACTAATGAGCATTTACAGAGGAGAGTTCCTGGGTTTTCAGAATAAGCAAAATGGAAACATTTCTTCAGGCAGTGCTTGGCTATGCTTATTTCTGGATGATAGGAGTAATTTCTGAAGCAGGAAGTCTTGGTTATTACCAGGGTGAGAGCGACTGGGATGATGAGTCCATGCGCTGAGCCAGCATGATTGACCTCATGTTGCCTCCTGGAGTTGGCAGCAGATCTGGGCAAAGCACACAGAAACCTTGTGTCATGGAGCAGTGTATTGGGTTTGCATGGTCGGGGCTTGGTAGTGAGTGAGCTACAAGGGTGGTGGCTTCTGTGAGAAGATGCCAGAAGTTTCCCACAACTCCCATTAGTTCTGCCGTGGCGATGGGTTTTATGAGCAGCAGTGTTAAGTGCCTCTGTGGTAACATATTTAAGAAGGGGAAAAAACTTGCTGCAGATCAGCATCTGTAAGAGAGGAGCGAGAATGTGTGAGAGAAACAGCCCTGCAGACCCTAGGGTCAGTGAAGGAGGGGGAGGAGGTGCTTCAGGCACAGTAGCTGAGATTCCCCTGCTGCCTGTGGTGTAGCCCACAGTGAGACAGGCTGTGCTCTGCAGCCCATGGGGGACCCCACACTGCAGCAGGTGGATGTTCCCCTGTGGGAAGCCCATGCTGGGGCAGGCTCCTGGCAGGACCTGCAAACCCATGGAGAGAGGAGCCCATGCTGGAGCAGGTTTGCTGGCAGGACTTGTGACCTTGTGGGGGACCCACGCTTAGAGCAACCTGTTCCTGAAGGATTGCACCTTATGGAAGGGACCCACACTGAAACAGTTCTTGAAGAACTGCAGCCCTGTCTGTTTTGCCCGTGACAGTAACTGGTGAGTGATCTCTCCCAGCCCTTATCTCAACCCATAAGCCTTTTGTTGTATTTTCTCTTCAGTGTCTGGCAGAGGAGAGGAGTGACAGAGTGGCTTGGTGAGCACCTGGCCAACGTGCCACAGACAGGGTGTGATTGTCCCTACTGGGCCACAGTTGAGGGTGTTTTGTGACAAACACATAGTATGCCAAAGACCATGTGCTTGTCACTGCTTAGAGGTGTTGAGCACGCAAACACCAACCCAGTCATGTTTGCCAAGTCTTTCCTTTTCAAAGGGAGCCAGTGCAAACCCCTTCTTGCCCCTGCAAAAGAATGGAATGAGTATATGCAAGTGCTGACTTAAGAAATTATTTCAGTTGCTGGTTCTGAACACCCAGAAGTGAAAATCCAGACAGAATTTTTGATAATATTTTTACATTCTGATTATAAGAAGTGTTAAAGATTACTGGCACTGAGGGATATTAAAGAAACATAGCAGTGGACAGCTCCAGCAGAATATCTTGTGCTTTCATTACCACTACAGGTAGAACTGGTTTTGGTGTTTCCTGTGTTGGACTTCTGGACAGCAGTCAGAAGAGAGAAGGAACATTTGATGAAACACATGGTGTAAATAACACTGAAGGAATCTCCCAGCAAGGCTAGAATACGAGACTGCTTTTTGGTGTTGTGGGGTTTTGTTCTTTCCCTGTGAATCAGGCTATAAGCTGTTCCTTTTGGCAATGACGTGGCGAAGGTGGAATCTCTGGATTTCAGCAGTTGACAGGCCCCCCAGTTGAGGAGGCTCTGCTCTGGGAATCACCTCGTTGCCGACTGAGTGGAGCGATGGTGGATGTGCAGAGGGGAGAGTCTGTCTCTGAGTCTTAAACTGAACAGGCCACGTGGTTTTCCTGCACCTCCTGGCTGGTCTCATGGTGTGAGAGGTGTGATGATTCCCATTTGAAGGTAGTGAAACCACAGTCTGTTGAAATGACAGTTGGGGCTGAGTGGTGACCCCTCAGAATTTGCAAGGCAGCCAAAGCAGAGCTCAGTGCAGAGCTCATACTGCACTTTGTACCAGGTAAGAGCTTTGATCTGGTCTTGTGTTTGCCATTGTGTGGAGAGAGAAGCAAAGACACACTGGGAAGACAGGGAGACTATTCTAGTGGTAAAGGCTGAAGTGATGAATAAGAGGAGAATCAAAGGCTGAGAGATGCAGTGGCTTCTTTCTGCCATGCAGGTATAAAGGGATGGCACCACTGTGCTTATGTCACTGTCTCAGTGGAATTTGGGGGTGAGAAGGGCCTTGAGAAGCTGTTCAGTTCAGGTGTGTCCTGCTCTCTCTTCCAGATCAATCCCACATGTCTTTTGAGGAACTGCTGCAGGTGCAGAGTGATGCCAGAACAAGAGTGTCCAAGCAGGTGATCAGTGGGAAGAAACCTGCAAAACCTGCCCAAGCTACAGTGAAGCAGCAGCAAGGCAAAAAGGGGTAAAGAGGCTCTTTTGTGATCTGAAAAAATGTGCATGTGTGTTCTCTGCACTCCAGGAATTATGCTGGAAGCACCTCACAGTGGTGGCATGGCCTTGGAGCTGGCATAGATCTCCTTTAATGTGCTAGACAATAATGCCTGTCACTATAGTGTTTCATTTGGCAATGCTCTGTTGCTGTTTTCAGAGCTCTTAATATCCTGCCCTGTTCAAATTCCCAGCAGCCACCTGTTAGTTGATAGTTAAATTGACAGTCAGTGCCTTTACACCCTCTGCATTAAGGCACCTGTAACCCACAGCATGGTGTACCTCTCTCAAGCTGTATGGTAGTGTCCCCGGACCCTGAAATAGTTACCCTACTGTTTTCTAAACCCCCTTTTGCCTGGTTCCACTGGCTGGAGTTACAGTCACAGCCAATTGTTTGGAATTTCATTCATCCTTCTGCTGTTGTCTTATCTATGCCTTGTCTCTGTTGATTTTCTTTTTTTTTTTCCCCCTCTCTACAGTACTTATCATCACAGACTTTTTCCTGTATTCAACACAACAAAACTATCAGATCTTCCTACAGTTTTCCATGGGTTCTCACTGGTAACAGCAATACCCTTACCCTCTATTTGCAGTACTTCATTGGTTTTCAGTCCTCAGAGTCACATCCAAGTGATTTGAACAGGTTTTCTGTGTTACATGGCCACTCCCTAACTTATTTCCAAATTTCTGCTTAATACATCTTTCTTCTGCTGTAAGCAGTTGATAAGAATAATGTTTCTGCTTTGCCTTTTACCCAGGACTCTGGAGGATTTTGTGTAGCACAGCATCTTCACACAGTGTCTCTATTTCTGCCACACAGTTTGCACAATTCTGCTTTTATTTAATTTCTCTAATCCTTTAAGTGATATATCACTGTAAATCCCACATGCTGTTTCTCTTATGATTTTGTTATGGAAGTGAGCTTCTCGGAGAAGGGACTTAATGAAAATTCCCTGGAACTGAGCTGGCTTCAGCAATGCTGTTTAAAGCTGACTTGAGGGCATTGTACAGGGGTGTAGCCACATCAGTGGATGTGAAACTAGACTGAATGCTTCCCCAGAAGGGATCTGGAAAACTCAGTTATGCCTGCAGAGTCATGTTCCTGCCCTGGTGTTATTTGTGGCTGACTGTGGGTGTAATGCCCATGTGGGTGCTCTCAGCAGGTGGCTCACAGGTTTTTCACGTTTCTGATAACTTACCTGATATACTGACAAGTCACAGGATGCAGCATCCAGGTAAAACAGGGAGAGTAATATTCCGTTCTCCCACTTTATACTGTCCCCCCTCAGACATCTAAAGCATCAAGCTCTAAAGGCCTGTGTGTTGGAAGGAGAACTTGTTCCCTTAATTGGTTGTCACCATGATCCTCATGGTCCTGATTCATTGTGAAGTCTCTTTTGGGATATGTCCCATAAACTGTGCAGCCCATATACCCAGGGGCTGACCTTTTCTTTACTGGTGTTAGTGTGCTTTCTCACTGAGCCTGGCCACACTGGAATTGGCCTGTCTTTGTAACTACCAGGTCAGTGCAGAAATTCCCAACTTTGGCACCCATGAGTGTTGAGAGAGCTGGCAGATGTTATTGTTCAGCCCCTCTCCATCATCTTTGGAAGGTCATGGAGAGCAGGAGTGGTGCTTGAGATCTGGAGGAAAGCTGGTGTCACTCCAGTCTTCAAAAGGGCAGGAAGAGAGGACTCAGGTAAACTACAGACCAGTCAGCCTCACCTCCATGCCTGGAAAGGTGTTAGAGTGCCTCATTCTGGAGGCCATCTGATAGCCTTCTATGATGGCATGGCTGACTGGGTGAATGACATGACATCCTCATAGGCAAGCTCAAGAAGTGTGGGTTAGATGAGTGGATGGTGAGGTAGATTGAGAATGCTGAATGGCAGAGCTCAGAAGGTCATGATCAGTGGCACAGAGGAGGCTTGTCACTAGTGGTGCCCCCAGGAGTCAGTACTGGGTCCAGTGTCATTCAACTTATTCATCAATGACCTGGATGAAGGGACAGTGTCCCCTCAGCAAGTTTGCTGATGACACATGGTTGGGAAGAGTGGGTGGTACACCAGAGGGTTGTGCTGCTGTTCTGTGAGACCTGGACAGGCTGGAGAGTTGTGCAGAGAGGAACCTAATGAAGTTCATTCAACAAAGGCAAGTGCAGGGTCCTGCACCTGGGGAGGAATAACTCCATGCACCAGTACAGGCTGGGGGCTAACCTTTTGGAAAGCAGTGCTGTGGAGAAGGACCTGAGGGTCCTGGTGGACAACAAGCTGTCCATGAGCCAGCAGTGTGCCCTTGTGGCCAAGAAGGCAAATGTGATCATGGGGTACATTAGGAAGAGCATTGCCAGTAGGTTAAGGAAGGTGATCATGTCCCTCCACTCAGCCCTGGTGAGGTTCATCTGGAGTGTTGTGTCCAGTTTTGGGCTCCTTGGGACAAGAGACGTGGAACTCCTGAAGCAGGTCCAGCGGAGGGCACCAAAGATAATTAATGGACCGGAGCATCTCTTATGAAGACAGCTGAGGGAGCTGGGCACATTCAGCCTGGAGAAGAGATGACTGAGAGGGAACCTCATCAATTCTTGGAAATATCTTAAGGGAGGGTATCAAGAGGATGGGGCCAGGCTCTTTTCAGTGGTGCCCAGCAACATGACAAGGCACAGTGGGCACAAACTGAAACACAGGTTGTTCCATCTGAATGAGGAAGAACATCTTTGCTGTGAGGGGTGACTGAGCACTGAAACAGGCTGCCCAGAGAGGTGGTGAATTCTCCTTCTCTAGGGATGTTCAGAACCTGCCTGGATGCAATCCTGTGCAACCTATGTCAAGTGATCGCCAGAGGTCCCTTCCAACCCCAACTGTGACTCCATGAGAGGAACAATCAAGTACAACACACTTACTGATGCAGGTGGTGGGTTTTCACTTGACACAGTGGGGCTGTAACAAGTTTTATGTAGGGCTGTGTTAATCACACATTTATAGATCATTTGTCTGTGGCTCCTGACTGAATTACCTCTTTGCTCTCTGTAGGTATCGTAGTGAGGATTGAGTTGAGAGAGTCTGCTGTGCAGTAATATTCTTCCAAGGGTTTGGTTAACCTGATGTGTTAGCCTGGTCCTCATTCTGACATCTGCTCCTTTTAAGTACATTTTGCTCTTTTTCAGGCCATTGGAGATGTCTGCCAAGAAGCCTGTACCTTTTCTGCGACAAGTCGTCTCTGTTAGAAAGAAGGTGGGTCCTCCCCCTCCCCAGCTCAGTAGTTGACCTCCCTTACCAATGCTGACAGAGCACAGACATGCTAGTGAGGCTGCTGCAGGTGGCACAAGCTGTTTCTGGTGGTATCCTCCAGAATACCTCCGGTGTGAAATACCTCGGGGACCACTGGTGGGTGCAGACAGTGCAGTGTTTCTCTGAGGAGAACAAGAGATGGGTGCAGGAGCAGCTGCAGGTTAGCTTGAGGAGTAACTCAAGTGTTTGTGACCCAAGTGTTTTTAGAAAATGTAATGGCTGCCACCAAAGACAATTGCCCTGCAAGCCATGGTCATCAGTCAGTTCTAGTCCCAGAAGTTCAAATGTCCATCTGCTTTCTAATCTGAATGTGACTTATCATTACTGGATCATCTGCATTAATTTCCACACTTAGAGGTCTCTTTTTGTCTCTCCCTTTTTGAATGACCTGACCCTGTTAGTCTGTGAAAATCTAAATAGGTTTGAGTTCCCAGATCCATCACCTTGACAACATGTATTCAGCTAGCTCTTGATCTGGGAGTTGCAAGTGTTTGGAGGCAGCACTTCTGCTGCTGTTCCTTGAATTGGATACTCTTGGGTGGTAGACTTGCATATGGAAATGTCTGTTACTTGGTAGACTGGATAACTTGGTAGACATGGTGACTTTATGAGGGACTGTGCCACATTGATCATTGTACTCAGTCTTTGCCAACTGCAGATGTCTGAATGGTGGGTGCATAATATTGCTGGCAAAAAAAATGGCAAGGTCTGGTCCATGAAAGGAGGAGAGTCAACAGGCTGCTAACAGGGTAATCCTGGCTACAGCTCTTGCCTTTGCTTTCCCTGCCTTCAGGTCCACAGAGACCCTCGATTCGATGACCTGTCTGGAGAGTATAAGCCTGAAGTATTTATGAAGACATACAGCTTCCTGGACAGCATCAAGAAGCAGGAGAAGGAGGTGATGCTCTGTGCCTGCCCTTGACCAGAAGAGCCTTCCTTGGCAGGGGCAGCTTCTTCAAAGGCTTTTCACAGTGGAGATGACAGGCAGGCAGCCATGCAACTTTCTGCTCTCTTCTTCAGATGGTTCAGAAGCAGCTGAAGAAATGCCGGAACATGGAGCAGAAGGAGAAACTTCAGCAGCTCCTGAACCGCATGGTGAGTTCCGTGCAGCATCTCCTTTTGGTGAGCACTGGAAGAGAGGATGTGTTACCTCACAGATCTGCCTTGATGCTGACACAGGCCATCCATCCTTTTTGTACAGACACAGCAAGAACAGGCACAGAAAAAGCAGCAGAAGTTAAGGGAGAGGGAGCTGTCTTTGAAGAGACAACAGAGGGAACTGGCCAAGCAGGGAAAGAAACCCTTCTTCCTAAAGAAATGTAAGTACTTGCTGTGAGCATGTTGCAGGAAGATCTAGAGGGAGTACTGCTGCCAGCACTCTGAGTGCTGCTGATAGGGTTCCAGGCCCTGGAAGCGAGGTATCCATACTATTCCACAGAGCTGTGGAGGGATTGTTCTAGCGCTGGTACTCAAGGGACAAGCTGGGCCTGGAGCCAAGGAGGGAGAGGTGAGGAGGGGCTGCTCTGTAGAGATGTTTCAGGCTTCAGTTTAAAACTGAAGTTTCCCTCTCCTCTCCAGCTGAGAAGTGGAAATTGGAGCTAGCTGAGAAGTATGCAGAGCTGAAGAGAAGTGGAAAGCTGGAGAACTTCCTGAACAAGAAGAGGAAGAGAAATGCCATCAAAGACAAACGCCGTCTGCCCTTACAGAAGAACTGAATGTTGGACAGACATGCTGTTGTCTGGGACTGGGACTCATTCTGCTTCGGCCAGGCCTGGAAGACGGCCATCTCCCTTCCCAGTATCTGCCTTCCACTGTACAATGATGCTGTAGGGTAGCATAGCAGAGGCTGAACTGAAGGAAATAGTGAGGTTTTTGTAGCTGAAATATCCTCTTTGTTTGTGGTTTAGACCATGACTGGGTGGTGACAAGTGTGTTGTGCAGATGGTTATGGTGTTGACAGCTGTATTTATCTTTGCACCTCCTAATTTTTAACTCTAGTGAGGAAAACTCAAGTCCTGCCTTGCATTGCTGGCTCTACTCTAGGTTTTCTCAGACTCCCACTGAGGTGGGAAAAGACCTGGTACACTGCCTGCTCAGTGCAGGGCTAGCACTGACTTCAGACCAGGTTGCCCAGGCCTGCTTTGGTGGGGTCTGGTAGTGTCCAAGGACAGATGCTACCACCTCTCTTGGCCTCTACTCTACTGCTTCAGGTTCTCAAGATGAAACTTTGTTCCCTCATCCAGAAAATTTGCCTGGTTTGCTGAAATCATTGTCTTGTTCTCAGGTGCCTGGCTCTATCTTTTCAGTGGCCTTGTCACAGGTCTGGGGTGTGGATCAGTGGGAAAAGGGTGCTGTAAGGTCTCCCCAAAGCATTCTCTTCCAAAGGGTAAATAAACCTTGCTCCCTTAGCCTTTCCTTGAAGTGCTCCAGCCTCTAACAACTTCACATACTCAACTGGAGTCAGCCCAAACAATCAGCATCTATATTCTGGGCACCCAGCCTGGATGCAGTGGTACCTCGATGTAGTCTTACAAGGGCTGAGTAAAGGGGAGATCACTCTGCTCCAGAGGGGCTGCACCTGGTGATGTCCTTCCTCATGGATAGAGCATGCTGCTGACTGCTCAGGTGCTGCTTCTGAGGATCTCTCCATCAGACCTGCTTCTCTCCTTGACTTCTCCAAGGTTACCTCCACAGAGCTATTAGTGCTCCTAGGAAACTGATTCTGTATGAAATAAAATACCTCAGTTTCCCTTTATTCCCAGTGTTGGTGCTGTTAGAGTTAAAAGTGTTTGAACTTAGCAGGGCTTAACGCTTCTCTCCAATATTATGTTTGCACACCAGCTCTTGTTTCTGCTTGCTCTGGTTGCCCCTGTCTCCTGTGGCTGTGCTAACAAGTAGGTGACTCGTATGATCCCTGTCTGACAGGTCAGAGTGTGCTGGAAGAGTGCCTCAGCCCTGCAGGGCAGTGCTGCCTGGGCACAGCTATGTGGGGCCTGGGGACAGGCCTTGCTGTGAGCAGCTCAGCCAACCTCAGGGTGTTGCTGAAGCACCTACCTCTACTGCAGTTCCTGTGGGTGATGTGTTCTGCTCTGGTGACAGGTTTTAGTGTAACTGGGGAAAGGCAGTAGAAATGGGATGTGCTGGCTTGGCTAAAGATGTGCTGCCGGTTTGTGTGCATTCCTGAGTCCATGTCCCCATCTGCTGCTGCTGGTCGATCCTGTCCAGCAGGTGGAAAACCTAGTGCACCCCCCAAAGTGGTCCTGCTTTCCCCTCCTGCCCCTCTGGAGCCAACAGGCTGCTTCGGGCTGAGGCCTGTGTGCCTGCCTGTAAGGACATCCTCACTTCTGCTCAGCACATTAGTGGGAAGGAGAGAGCCAGCTGGGCTGTGTACCTGCCAGCTCGGGCCCAGCACCCTGCAGCAAGGGAAGCCCTGGGACATCGCCCAGCTCACGCAGTGCTGTGGTGCCACTGGGTATTTGGGCAGGCGGCAGCATGGCAGCACCAGCTCCAAAGGAAAAAGATGCTTTCCGCATCTCCAGACAGCTTCCTACTGCGAGGGAGATGCTCTTTCCTCAAGCAGTGGTGTTATTTTCCTTGTTTCTAAGGCAATTTGGGCAGCATGTCCCTGCCAGACCTGCACTGGTGTTCCTCTGTGTGGAATGCGGGGACTTGCTATGGGTGTCCCTGGGCATGACTGGTGCCAGTTGATGTAAGTGCAGCTGGTTGCACAGGCAGTGGTGACAAAACTTCCACACGTACCCAGCCAGTGACACGCTCGGAGCCCACCAGATTCTCACAAGGATCTGTCTCTCTTCTCCCAACTGCAGGCCGGGAGGACTGGCTTCAGACCCAGGTGCTTGGGATACTCTTCCCCAGGCCTGGGCAGTCACTTAGTGAACCTCTCCACCCCAGACATGCTCTGCAGCTGGGCATCCAGGCATACAAGGGACAGGTGCCCACAGGTGTGTGGGGATCTGCCTGCTGGTGGGGACACAGACATGAGAAGGCTGCAGGGCTCAGGTCTTTTATTGCAAAGAGGGAAATACAAAAAAGGACAGTCACCCCCTCTGAGCCCCCCCCAGGCCTGCTGCTGGCTGAGAGGGGTGACAGGCAAGGGGAGGCCTAGGCCTTGCTTCCCTGTGTGAGGACCTTGGCTGAGGCAGCGGGGAGCAGGCTGCTGCCAAGGGCCATGCTGGGGCCAGAGCCAACCATAACAGCCAAGCAGGTGCCCCACAGTGTCCCCATACAGTGCCCTGGCTGGTTAGAGGGCAGTGCTGTATGGGGAGCACTGAGGGGAGCATGGCACAGGGCTGCTTGGTCCCTGCCAGACACAATACATGGCAGGCAACCCTGGCCTCCTCTGTCCGTTTCTCTTGGTGGAATGCTGAGGTCCCAAACTGCTCTGCAGCCTTACAGACGCTGCTATGGGTGGCCCTTGCCATGCAACCCTCAGGGACCTGAGCAATTTGGCCCAGGGAAGGAGGGAGCAGGGTCGTTGCCCTCTGTCCAGGCAGGGAGCTCAGCGGCCCACCTCAGGTTTGTAGGTGACGGCCAGGCATGGTGGTGCCTAGGCTGTAGCTCCTGCTGGCTTGTCACGTGTTGTCCCGGGCCAGCTCCTCAGGGCAGGCAGGCTGGTCCCGGGACTTTCGTGGCCCTGTAGATGGCTGGGCTGGGGCACTCTGCTGCTGGTCCGTCCCCAGAGGGGTGTGGTGCTGGTGCCGCTGGTACTGCACAAACATACAGACCTTCATCCCAATGGCCAGCATGTTCTTGCCCATGAAGATGCTGGAGACCCGAGCATCCCTGAAGAAAACCATGTTGCTGCCTCGGATGAAGATGGTGGTGATGTTGACAGTGAGCATGCTCAGCATGGGGTACAGCATCATCCGGTGCGGCATGATGCCAATGCCCTGCATGCTGATCTCACACAGGGACACGCAAGGGAGGACCAGGAGCAGGATATAGCAGTAGAAGAACATGATGCCCTCAGCCCAGAGTGGCAGGCGCCCCTTTTTGCTCCCACAGGTTGGCCTGGATGTCCAGCACATCCAGCATGTCCACAATGACCCAGAAGAGGCGGTTGCGGAGATCTTCCTTCTTCTTGAATGTTCTGACATACTCCATGTGCTCTGTGGCCACCAACAACACGTAGAGGGCTGGGATGCAGATGGAGAGCAGCAAGGTCAGGGCTTTGCGGGCTATGAGATCCAAGCTTTTACGGTCAGCTTTATAATTCTGGTACACAAAGTAGACTTTAATCTCCAGAACGAAGACATACAGGAACCAGAGGATCATGGCATAGCCCCGCTTAGCTGTCTTTACCTCTGCCCCGACCCAGATGGCCACATAGCGGAGAACTAGCAGGAAGCAGATGTCACCCACTGCCACCATGACACACATGCCCAGCTTCCTGGAGCCCTGGCTTTGCTCCACCAGGTAGGCATCCATGAGGACAAGGCTGGTCATGATGAGCACAGTGGAGAGGCACACGTGAGGTTTGCTGACAGGTGGTGGAGGAACCATCCTGCACAGAGGAACAGGCAGAGTTGTCAGGCTGAGATTCCCCTTGGGCTCCCTTCTGCTGCCCTCTCCCCAACAGCTGTGAATGGCTCAAAGAAGGGGTGGAGGAGAGTTCATAGATTTCTCCCCATCCTGTGTGCCTGGTTTGTTCCAAACCTGCAGCCTTCTAGCCAAAGTGCTTCAGAGACTCCTGATCAGCCCAGCTCCTAGGCTGCACATTGTGGGGCAAGCTGGGCGCTTGGGACACTTCAAGCACTTGGGATGCTACTGCCTCTTCTGGTAGCTGTTCACACTGTCTAGTCTCTACCACCATGAAGGGTTATGTGCCTTATTTTTCATGGGATTTCCCAGCCAGTGGCACTGGTTATATTCTCCCCACCAAGGTATATATGACCATATCTATGATTTTAACCCAAGCAGGTCCTTAACTGCTGTGATCCAGGACTGCTCTTTTCAGTCTTGTTTATTTTCACGCACAGCACAAGGCGAAGAATTTTTAGCCTGGCTGTCATGTGCGGTGGGAGGGAAGAAATCGGCCAAATATTCTGTTTACTCAGGTTCTTACTGCCCAAGAGCCTTGCCTACAGCTGTTAGCCCACGCCCACTCTAACCTGAAAGCAAAGGAAAGCAGCATCAACCCACAGCTCCAGGGCACAAGCAGCTCTGCAACAGGCCCTGAGTTTTGGCAGGATGCTCAGCTTTCTTGGGCTGGGGCAGAGCAAGCACAGTCCCCAAAAGCACCCTGACTGCCTTGCTTTGCACCAGGGCTGTCAGACTCCCTCGGCCTGACCAAGCACAGCTGCAGGCAGCTGCCATCAGAGGCGGAGGGAAGATGGAGCTGGGGCCTCACCAGGAACAGCTCGGCAGCTGCTCTGGAGGGGAGCCAGCCCCCCGGATGAAATGGAGGATGAAGCTGGGCTGATGACTGTGTGCCACAGTGCTGCACGATGTCTGCCCGTGTAGACCCTAACTCAGCCACACCTGGGCTGTGCAGGGGCCCCGAGGCACCATCCTGGTCATCCAGTGGGCAGGTGGGCTTGACCATAGAGCAAGTACTTGGGAGCGGGATGGAGACTGCACAGTTAATGGTCACTCCTGCACATGGATGCTCCTGGTGCTGAAACCGATGGCACAGGGCCCTGGGCACATGCTACCTGAAGTCCTATTTTTTTTCAGCTGAGGGAGCAAGTGTACGGCACAGCTGTGCATCCCTGGGCCCAGCAGCATCCTGGCACGGTGTGGGAGGCAGCAAAGCCTGAACCTGCCAGACACAGGTGCCTCTTGAAGAGAGAGATCAGAGGCTGGTGGGAATGGGGGAGCCCACGGACGTGGCACATTCGGAGCAT